CTTCCATTTCAGCAGAATCAAAGGCCTTCTTTAAATCAATGTACATTAGACAGCGGCATCTTGAGCTCCCAAGAAACCTCAATGAGCTTGGTTATCTTGTGGATATGGCCGATGGTGCTGAATCCTTTGCAGAACCCGGCTTGCTCGCATGGTTGTCCTTCATCTAGTGCTCTGCCAATCCTATTCAGGATGACTTGAGTGAACAGCTTCTAGATGACAGATACTAGATGACAGATACTAGGCAGATTGGGCAATAGTTGCCAATATCTTGGATATCTCCCTTTTGTACAGTAGTACAGTCCTGCTGGTTTTCCATTGGGACGGAACCTTGCATTCAGACAGGTAGCATGTGAAGAGCCGAGCCAGCGTATTGATGAGTACTGACGGCAGGTTCTTCAGGTGTTCAGGTCTGACCTTGTCTGGGCTGGGTGCTGTTCGTTTCTTTACCGACGAAATGGCGTGTCGGATTTCGGAAGGGAGAACATTGGGAACGACATCCATCCTGCGGAATTTGGTATGTGGGCAGGTGGACGTGGCTATCAAAGAGATCTGAGTAGAATTCATGGATAATCTTCTCCATTGCACTTCTGTAAGATGTGATAGATCCATCGGACATCGGAGGGCAGTCATCTTGCTCTTGTAGCTGGCGAAGGACAGACGGGCGTTTCGAATGCTTTTCCCGGCGTCTGCTGCATCTACTAGCACTTCTGCTCTTCTCTCTTTGAGGTCTTCCTTTATCGCATCTCTGCACTGCTTTGCCAGCTCAGACATTTGCTGCGGTTGCCTGAGGCATGCAGCAAACCACGTTGGTGAGTAAGCTCAAGAGTTTTCGAAGACAGGCAATTTTTTGTGGCTATCTCTTAGCGTTCCTCGCACAATCATGGAGATACTGAACCAGTCGATTGTATTCCTCATCAATGTTGTCAACGACGGCATCTTCCCATGTTGCAGCAATAGTGCCAAAGAGCTCCCAGCTAGTGGTCGTTCTGGGAGTTCTCTTCTTAAACTTTGCAGCCCTTTCTCCCCGCTCTGTGAAGTAGAATTTTGCACAAAGGAGATGGTGGTCCGATCCCGTTTGGAGTGTTGGGACAACAGCAACATCGGTCAGGCATGTCTAAAATGACATCAGCACCTGTATATTCATTACAGCACTGTTCACAATAGCCAGACTCTGGAAGCAACCTGAGTGTCCAAGAACAGACGACTGGTCAAAGAAACTTTGGTACATCTACACAGTGGAATACTATGCAGCTTCTAGGAAAGATTTAGTCATGAAATTTGCTTATAAGTGGATGGTCATGGAGAGTATCATGCTAAGTGAAATGAGTCAGAAAGAGAGGGACAGACATAGAACGACTCTACTCACATGTGGAATATAAAATAACATGAAACTGACACCCAAAGACAGACACAAGGGCCAGAAAAATTGCTCCATGGTTGGAAGCCTGCCTCATGAGCTGGGGGAGAAGGCAGCTGGGGTAGAGAAGGGATGGATCACTAAGACAATGATGGCTGAAGGGATCATTTGGGATGGGAGATGTGTGCTGAAAGTAGATAAAGGACTAAACATGATAGCCTCTCAGTATCGATATTGCAAACTATAATGCCCCAAAGTAGAGAGAGTATGGGGGAAATTGCCATAGAAGCAGCGGAAGGGTTGGGATGAGGGGGGGATACTGGGGACATTGGTGGTGGAGAATGTGCACTGGTGGAGATTGGGTGTTTGATCACTGTATGGCTGAAACCCAAACATGAAAGCTTTGTAACTGTATCTCACGGTGAATCAATTTAAAGAAAAAAAGAAAAAAGAAAACCAGTACTGCAAAGTAGCAACCTACAACATCAAAACAAGAATCTGTTGTGTTTCTATATGTAAATGATGAAGTAGAAAAGGGGGAAAAATAAAATACAACCCAATTTAAAATGTCCAAAAATATTAGAAACCTAGAAATAAACTTTAAAGGCTGTGCCATACTTATACATTGAAAACTCTAAGTCACTGTTGAAGAAATGGGAAGATATTCCATGTTCATGGATTGGAAGAATTAATGCCATGGGGTTGGAGCAATAATAGTACATTGGATAGATAGGGCACTAGCCTCCAAGAGCCTCCAACCCAGGTTTGATTCTCAGTACCCCTGATGGTCCTAGGAGGGATCCCTGAGCACCACTGGGAATGGACCCACCCCTCTCCAGCCCCTCTCCCCCAGAAAAAAGATGATTGTCAAAATGACTGTTCTTCCAAAAGCATCATAGTCAATAAATTTCCATAAAAAATTCTGAAGAAATTCTTCAGTTTGTATGGAATCATTAATCTTCCCAAATAACCAACTGAAAGTAATTCTGAGAAAAAATAAATGGGAGATACTGCATTTCCTGAGTTTAGATTATACTAAAAAAGCTATAGTAATCAAAACGATGTGATACTGGCAAAAAGGTAAAATTCACAGATCGATGGAACAGAATTGAGATCCCAAAGATAAGTCCTCAGGTTTATGGACAATTTACGACAGAGTCACTAAGGGCATGAAGTGGAGCAAGGAAAGCCTCTTCAACAGATGGTTCTGGGAAAGCTGGTTAGGCACATGTCTTTTCCCCCAAGGGGTGGGGGGCGATAACAATCTTTATAAGGCATACCATTCACAAGAGTTAATTCAAAGTAAAGACCTTGAGGTTAGACAAGAATCCTTAAACTACATTGAGGAAAACAGGCAGAACTCTCCAGAATGTGGAGGGCAGATAGGGAGTTTGCCTTGCACTTGGCTGACCCAGGTTTGATCCTAGGCCCCATACGTTCCCCTGAGCACTGCCAGGTGTGATTCCTGAGTGCAGAGCCAGGAGTAACCCCCGAGCATTGCCTGGTGTGGTCTCAAAACCAACCAACCAAACAAACAAAATGTGGACTTCAAGAGATGCCTTCAACAAACTAGCCTTGGAGCAAAAAATGAAAACAAGGGGGGGGTCACCAAACTTAAAAAAGGTTTGGGATGCTGAAAGAAACTCGGGTTAAAATAAGACACCCACTAAACGGGAGAAAATGCTTGTGCATCACCTGGTGAAGGGCTAATTATCTGAGATGTAGAAAGTTCAGAGCCCAGTAACAAAAACCTATAAATAACCACATCAAAAAAGGGAAACTTTTTGATGGACAGAAACTTTTCCTGAAGAAGATACGTAAGATGGCTAGTAGAAAGTGCTCATTGTCACTTGTTATCAGGAAAATGCAAATCGGAATGAGAGATCATTGCACCAGTGAGACTGGAAACAGCCAGTATGAGCAGAGAGATTAAAGAGCAACGGTGTCACAGTAACAATAACGGGAACATTCCTGAATTCACCAGACACTGTATTAGGAACTTGGCAACATTTCCATCTCACCAGGTCAGGTCATGAGTGAAATTTAGTAATGTGCATGAGATCATGCAACCAAGGCCAAGGGTTTTGTTTTCCTTTTTAACTTTCGGGGATCCTCCTAAACGATGCCCAGGGACCCAGGAGTCACTCTGGACAATCATTGGTCAGTGCAGGCCAAGTGACTCAGTGGGTGCACGTGGTGCTGCTGAGACCTGGCAGTGCTCGGGGGCCACAGGGTTCCAGGAATTGAACCTGTGGCTTCGCTCACGGAGAGCATGTGTTCCAGATCTTTGAGCTATCTCCCTGGGCCCCAAGACTGCAATGGAACCTAGATTTTTGTTTTTTAAATTTATTTTATTAGTGAATCGCCGTGAGGTACAGTTACAGGCTTACAAACTTTAGTGCTTGCGTTTCAGTCATACAATGATCGAGTATCCATCCCTCCACCAGTGCCCATTTCCCACCACCAGTGGTTCCAGTATCCCTCCCACCACCCCCACCCAGTACCCTCCACCCTGTCCCGCATCTGTGGCAGGGCATTCCCTTTTGCGCGCGCTCTCTCTCCTCTCTCTCTCTCTGGTGTTGTGTAAACCTAGGTTTGTTTTTATTCTGAAGCCTGTGTACATCAGGATGCACATTGGGCCAGACACCAAAGTACCACTCTCTCTGAAGACAGAATCAAGAAGAGACAGGAAGGTTCTCTTGCACAGTCCACCTTTGGGATATTTCTGTCTAGAATTTCAGACCAACTTTTACAGTCAGAGACCAAGAGCCTTCATTCCCTGCTAAAGCTCGCAACACTATTTGTTATTCCATCAGTTTCCACTGGTCTTTTTGGTATCTAGATGATTGTGGGCCTGATTCAGTTTTAGCCTGATGTACCTGTGTTGCCTAGTTCCCAAGTCTGGGATCCTATTGGTTCCAGTTGTACCTTATGCACGGGTGGACTAGCCTATGATCTGAATCTAAACTGGTCAGCGCAGAGGAATTTGATCAGAGGATCATGAGCACTTAAGTATCCTACAGTAAACTCTCCATCCTTTTACGGGAGTGGGGGGAGGGTATTCTCCAAGAATAGAGCAGCAGCTGATGAGAAGAACGTTTAAAACTAGGCCTGGGATTTCTTTTATGAGATAGTTTTCCTATCCAAGTACTAACCAGGCCTGACCCTGCTTAGCTTCCAAGACCAGGCACGTTCAGGGTGGTATGGCCATAGACTAGAATGATAATTTTAGTATTACGTCAAATGTGCATAAAACATCCAAGTAGAAATTAAGGGGGTGGGGGGTGATTCTAACAGGGCCTGTGAGTGCAGATGCCCTGAAACACAGATCTTGCATGTGGCCAACCTTGGTTCCATTCCAGGCCATGTGGTCCATTCACACATGCCCTTGAGGGCCTGCACGTGGTGATGATTTGGGCGGGGTGGGTTCGTGGGAAGGCCTTAGGGGCTCATGAACCCCACTTTGGAAAACCACTGTTCCACAGTGCCAGGCAAAATGCAGCCAGGACTCGCCCAGTCTAATTTCTAGGGTTCTAACTGGCTACCGGGAGGCTCCACCGTTAACTAGAGTAAGTCTGACCATCAGAGACGTTTTACATCTTGTCCGGGTGCCCTGACCAAGCACACAGCCGGGCTTACTTACGCAGAGCTGCAGTGGGGTGCTCTGTGCACAGTCCCTCCTGGGGCCAGGACTCAGCTGGAGCTCGCAGCCTGTCCTGTCAGGCTCCTGGACGGCCGTGTACTGTGCCAGGCGTTTCACGCAGCTGCAGCAGTGTTCCAGGGCCTGCTGCCCCGTCTCGCCGCCGAACTGCACCCGGAACATCCGGCTCTTGTTCTGCCGGACAGAGCACAGGGGTCGTCAGTGTCCCTCTGTCATGACCTATCACGTGGGGTTAGTGAGCCTGGCAGGGCAGAGGGACAGATACGGGCAGTGTTTTCCAAAGTGGGCCATGCCACCCTGGGTGAGGGGGGTTATCCCGAGGAGCCTTCAGTGTGTGGGGGGTGGGGGGCATTTTCTGTTCTCATCAAGGTCGATTTCCAGGGAGTGCTGAGTACTGAGTGCCGAGTACTGCTGGAAGGGGGGCGGTAGGCAAAGGAAGTTTTGAGAAACTGGATATTCACATGGAAAAGCCAATAAAGTTTCCCTCTCACTTCAGGGAGCTGCTCTTTATACTAAAATTCATTTCCTTCAGGGAACTGGTATCCACAGAAATGGAAAAGCCCAACCACAAAGACCAGGTCACTAAACTGGAAGAGCAGCCTCGGGTCTCTGAAGGAGGATAGCTGCTCTCAAGCAGGAAGCCCGTGAGGGGGACTTGCCATAGTCTTTGTCCCAGTTTTTCCTAACCCTGTGTCTAGAAAGCGAACCAGGCAGAAGTAATTGAGCCAATAAATCCGAAAGGCAAGGATGATGAGTGGGACAATCACATGCTAAAAGCTGATGTGTTTCATTGATAAGCCTTTACCCTTTAAGAGGCCGAACTCTCATACATACCATACAGGGAAATGTTGCTTTAAATTTGCTGTATGAGTTATCCTTGGCAAATGAGCAAAATGGGAGGGCCAATTAGTTTTAAAATCAACTTCATCAGACCTAATAGTTCTCAGATAGAACTAAAGTGTAACAACAACAAGGCTGTTCTTTCAGGAGAAGTAGTTTCCTCTTTATCCACCCTCGTATTCTGCCTAATTCAGAGGCATCCACTTGACACACGCCCAGACAGGGAGCACGTAGTGTGGCTCTTTTTGTGGTCTCCTTTGTAAAGAAATTCTAACCCAGAGTGATGTTACTTTTCATTTCATGAATACACATATCACCTCTAGCTTAAAACATCTTACCCACAGTTATCAGAATCTTGTATGTTCCTATAGGCAAAAATTCCTTCATTTTCTATTTCAATTTTTAGATTAAGTCACCAAACAAAACTACATATTGAAGTACCTGAAAATTCTTGGCATGGCTAAGCGATGATGGCATAGCGTGTTTAGCAAGAGAGAGTGCTACCCCTTTAATGCCACTGCTTGGTTCTCTTCATTTTTCTTTTTTTTCTTTTTGGGTCACACCCGGCAATGCTCACAGGTAACTCCTAGCTCTGTACTCAGGAATTACTCCTGGAGGTGCTCAGAGGATCATATGGGATGCAGGGGATCAAACTCGGGTCAGTCGCGTGCAAGGCAAACACCCTCCCTGCTGGACTATTTGCTCCAGCCCCTCTCTTCATTTCTCAATTCATTTCATCCTTTCCCTCAAGCATAAAAGTAATTCATCATCATTGAAAATCTATGAAAAGGAGATGTTCTAATATATAGAAATAGTAGCATATACTCAAGATATTCTAGTAGATGTTAGAATATATGCACACTTTTATACAACCTATAAAACACATGTTTTCATATACTAATAAATAAAGGCCGATTTGCTCGAGCGGGCCCAGTAACGTCTCCATTGGAGACTTTGTTGTTACTGTGTTTGGCATATCGAATACGTCACGGGGAGCTTGCCAGGCTCTGCCGTGCGGGCAAGATACTCTCGGTAGCTTGCCGGGCTCTCCGAGAGGGGCAGAGGAATCGAACTCGGGTCAGCCATGTTGGCTGCATGCAAGGCAAATGCCCTACCGCTGTGCTATCGCTCCAGCCCTAAGTTTCATATATGTATATTTTTAAATTACTGTTTTGTAAAAACAGAAGTATATGTCCATCATATTTAATGCTGACGAGTATTCCTTTAACTGGCCTCCTACTAATAAACACTTCTTTCCAGGCTTTTGTTCCTATTATAAATCATAAAGCCATAGTAAACACTCTTAACCATACACTTGTGTCCTAAATGCCTACCAGTGGCCAGCCTGGCCAAAGGATCATTCTACTTTATACTTTGTACTGACATGGTGACCTCGACTCCCAGTCATTTCCCTGTGGTTCCGAATCTCTGAGTCCTGTATTCTGTTTCACCTTTTGTTAATCTACAATCTTAACAGATTTTTACTTTAGAGTTTCATTTCTTTGATTGTTAAGTGAAGTTGAGTATTTCTTATATGCCTCTTGGTCTTTCGTACTTTTTCTTTTGCATCTTGCCATGGACGTAGCTGCTTCTAGCTTACCTTATGTCACAATCTTTATCTGGGACATAAAGAAACAACAAATGTCCAAATGCAGCAGTAACTGAGAGCTGGTCTGTAGTACGAGGCTTATCACTGCAGGGTGGGTGGAGAGAGAAAGAGGGTTGGGGGCAGCAGACATGCCGGAAGGCGCAGTGTTGCAATGTCTGTGTATGAAGCCTTGTCATTGTCAGTACTATAAATCACAGTGCCTAAAATTTTGGGGTTTTTTTTGGCCACACCTGGCAGTGCTCAGGGGTAACTTTGGCTTTGTGCTCAGGGATCACTCCTGGTGGGCACAGGAGGCCATATGGGGCACCAAGGTTGGCTGCCTGCACATTGTGCTATTGCTCCAGCCCCCAAGGTTTTTTTTTTTTCCAGGTATCTATAGATGCACAGCAAGGGGGCAACAAAGGGGAACCAGCAACGCAGTGAGAGAACAGACCCACACACGTGGCTTTGTGTGAGGAAGGGCTTGAAAAGGAGGGGCTTTGGGGATCCTAGGCAGAGGGAGGTGGGTACACCGGTGAGGATTGTGGTGCCGGAATTATGTACGCAGGAAACCAGCACTAACAACTCGTAAATCACAAAACCTCAATCAGTAAAAATTTTAAAATGTTACTGTGAAATTCCCTATATTTGCTATGTCTAGTAGAATTCTCTAATTACCATGGTTATGCATTTCGAGTAGTGATCACATTACTGCAGCCCCGAGCTAAATGAAAAGCTACAGGAATAAACAATGAATTCACATGTAAGCAAGCAAAGATCAGAGACCAAGTGGCACCTATGTGTGTCTTCATAAGAATGATTCTGGAAAGTCGGGTTTTCTTCAGAACGTTGCTCCCTAAACGACAGGGTAGGCTAAATTGTATGTCTGATAGCCTAACACAAGTCTTGTTCCGTGTTCGCTTCTATAAAATTCTGATAGATTTTGAGCTTATCATTTGAAGCCAGAAATACTACTTCAACGTGTGTGAACTCTAGATAAAAACCAAGGTACTTCCAGAAAAATCGGAAAGTGAGTTACATCTTCACCCCATATCTTCAGTGCCCTGAAGTACCACAGTGGAAAACCATTTAATAAGCTAACGAAAACGACAGCGAAGTTGAAAGTTTTGAGATTTCTTTTAATGCCATAAATGGAAGTCAGAGTTCCTTGCTATGAAATGAAAGTTTTTCAATACACGTTAATAACCAGAGACCGCCCTGAATAAACAGTCTCCAGTTTCTGTCACCTAAGAAGAGTCCCTCCAAATTGTTGTATTTTAAAGGGGGGCTCACAGGATAAATTGTTCCCATCCTACTTTGAAGCACTTAGGCATAAGTCATTGCAGCTAACAGAAAATGCCCTTTGCAGAGACTCTTCAGAAAACAAAACATGGAGAAATGCTTGTCTCTTTGTCCTTAACCCAGTGTGGGAGGCATTCAGCCCTCTGAACTGACTCGGGGAACAGCCTCTCCACCAGCAGAGAAAGGCTGCTTCTGGTTTGTTTGTTTTTTAATTTTCAGAACATCTTTATTCTTGTCTGCCATTTTTTTCTGAGGCACAGTGATTTTCAGTACTGTGTGTTATAGGGTCTTATACATACAACGTTCCAGAACCACCAGATTGCCTGTTCCCCTTTGCCACCACCTCAGTGTCTCTGTGCAAGGTCAGCTCTGCAGGCCAATCCTGTTCTGAAAAACCTGTTTCTGAAAAGGACAGCTAAGTTGAAAGTTTTGCGATTTCATGTGTGGGGAGATTCTGAAGCTGAGACTCCACGGCAGGCAGGCCTGGCCTGGAAAGCATGCCCAAGATGGGTGCCCAGAGACAAGAGACACCCCACCAACTTATGGCTTTTCCTGCTGGCTTTAGATGCAGCCAACAGAGCTGGGAGAACGTCCTGTCCTTTGGGTCGGGGTAGAGCTCCCTGCTCTTCCTTAGCCTCTAGGGCCCCCATAAAAGGCAGTTTCCCCACTAATAGTGGGTCTTTCTACTGCAGAAATATGGAGGGAAAGCACAGGAAATAGACTTAACCAGAGAAGGAACTTCACGATTGCTCTGACTCTTCGCTTTCAAACTGGGAGGTAATGCCAAAATATCGAGGCCAGAGAAACCCAACAAACGTGGAAAAGTTCAGCGACTTATTAAGGATGAGAAGCAACATGATCAGGGGTTGCATTACTGCTCTGCATTACCCCTACCCTTGGGATGAGGATGTCGATGGCTCCTTGAGCTGATCAGCGAGGCCCCTGGGACCAGCATCACAGAAGAGCAAAAGCAGCCCACGTGCAGACAGAGCTGACAGTCTAGATGGTTCAGTCAGGGAGGAAAGAGAGCCTGCGTGAGTCACATGAAGTTACTGTGAAGAAAATGAATATTTTTCCCTCAGAATACTTTTAGTTGTCAATGTACGCAATGGTCTTTTTAAATTTTTTATTAGTGAAACTCCATGTGGTACAATTGTTGACCTTACAAATTTTTGTGCTTGGGTTTCAGTTATACAATGATTGAGTACCCATCCCTCCACCGGAGCCCATTCCCCACCTCCAATGCTCCCAGCATCCCTCCAACCCCCTCACCCCCTCATTCCACCCCACCCCTGTGGCAGGGCGTTCCCTTTTGTTTTCTCTCTCCTTTTGGGTGCTGTGGTTTGCAAATGAGGCACTGAGTGGCTACCATGTTCAGTCTATAGTCTGTTTTCAGCATGCATCTCTCATCCTGGGAGGGTCCTCCCAACGCCCTTTACTTGGT